TGCAGCTGGCTCCAACTCAGTGGTCGATTCTGGTGCCGGTCGCTCGAAGGAAGAAGCAGATGGCTGGATTTCGGTGGTGGGTTCGGGAGGGAGAGGTGGAAGGGGAGATAGATTGGGGTATGGATGCGCTGCCTGCGGCCTAGGGCGGGATCCAGAGGAGGTCTTTCTGCTTTCCCGGTGGTTCTTGCTGACATAGCATTCTCTCGAATCCCTCCAGGTAAATTGCTACCTCATACATCACAGTGGAACCTGCACGGTGCCATCCGTGTGCTTGACGAGATTTGACCTCATCGTTGTCGTGGTTTCGCTCCCTGGGTGTGGACAGCGGTGCTCCTCTTGCCGGATCAACCCAGTCAGCACTTGACGGTTTGTAGATCCTAAAATGACTTCAGCCCCAGCGCAGTGTCACTCAATCTTCACTGTCATCAATGCGCTTTTACCGGCAAAGGAGTGCCATCGGCATGACGAATGGTTTCTGTCACAGGCTGCAGCAGGTCAGGTGTTTTGATTCCTACAATTCTCTCGAATTCCGACTAGTCACTATAGATTGTTTATAATGTAATTTAAACCTTGTTAAGGCACTATTACAACATCTGCATGTGATTTTAAGTGTTTATAGTGCATTTCCAGATTTGGGAATTTGACAGATTTATGATCAATCTGACAGATTTGTGATAAATATGACAGATTTTTGAAGTGCATTTAGCAGAATTTGCCTATGACCTAGCGGTCACCCTGCACGTGTTTACGGGGAGTTGGTGATGCGGACAGCAAGCGAGTAAGAGCCGAGTGCTCTGCGTTTTAGGAAATAATTGTGCGCGAATTGTACATAGTCGTATGAGCTGTGCTTGGGCTGCGCTTGCATGTATTGCTGATGTGTAGAAAGTACAATGCTGTAAAGCTGTACGTTGCTGATTGGCTCGCATGGTCGATGCGTAGCGGATACTGTTGTGCATGTTCATTGTCTATGCTGTTGTACATTGCCTGTGCGGTCTTACATTGCTGATGCTTGGGCGCATTTTAGACATTGTGATGCATTGCTGACATTGCAGTGCATTTCTGCCATTGTTCTGCATTCTTGTGCTGCTGGCATTGCTGGTGTGTGTGTTAGCATTGGACTATCTCTCCAATAATTAAAGGACCCAGATAATAAAACAACTACGCCTATTAGTTCCAATTACAGTTATTCTACATTTGTTGATAATTGTTGAATAAATTATGATTATTGTGTTTTGAAGTTACCGACAATTCTGTTTCAGGTGTCTCTGTTACTGGTTCATTGTGTAATTATCAATCATTCACAATCGGCGGTAGATTTCCACCAAAACGGACCTGCACCCTTAGCCTTGAAGGTCGCTCTGAGTGATCTCTTGTCTAGGGACGAGCCTTGGTTTGACAAGATTGTCTTCACCCTTTAAGGAGTCGGAAGTATCCTAACAGACTTAGGTTGGCCCGGGGGTTCCCGCCATAGTATTATACTAGGTTACAGGGGTGTGAGTGACCTCCGATAAAAATAGCTGAAAACGGCTGAAAAAGGTGCAAAAAAGCTAAACTTTGGAAAACTCCTATACTTTTGTACACAGCAAGTGAGGGAACAAAAAAAAGCTGAAATCAGCCTTAAAGCTGAGATTTCACACCCCTGAGGTTACTTAGGCTAACAACGAAAAGTTCTGCTTCCAATTACACTGCAGTTGAAAATAGGGTGCGCGGGTACGATTAGATAAGGTCACTTGTATAAGTGTAGTAAAGGGTAAAAGATAGTAATTGATGGTTTTCTGGGTTTTTTTTCTCATTTCCTACCCCCAAAAGAAAAAGGAGTGTAAAGGTTGTCATAATAGGATATGTTGGGTAGCCAGAAGGCGAAGGAGAAGTTTCTTTGAGTGTGTGTGGCCTTTAAGTACTTCAGTCGTCTCACTTTTTTTCCTTAAGTACATTTGTATATGAATTTCAACAGAATATGTATTATTTTACAGATGTGGAAAGCCATTGGCAGAAAGTTTTGCTCCTGTTCTGTAAATGCGTTCCTATCCAGAGTGGGTTGTTTCAAGAAAGCAGGTTGCTAAGGAAGTTGCACTTATTTGTCACACACTGGCACATATTTGTAAATACTTGATCCACAAACGTCTGCTAGACTTGCTGAGCAGTTCAAAGTACCACCAGGAAACAACAGTGACTGTCTTTCAGAGACATTGCAAACGATTTCTAGTTCTAAAGCACGACAGTTGGTACAGCAATTTGCACCTATTATTCCAGGTGGCAAATGTTTGGAAGCTCTCCACATTTACAGATATGGAGCACTGTGTGGAGCTCCAGCTAAGAAGCAGTCTTCAATTGAGTTAAAGCCCAGGAAAGGAGTCGAAGACTGCACTCCTACTCCATCCGTGCTTTCCGATCATACACAAAAACTACAACATGGGACCACTCCACAGAGATGATTCACTTTGGACACAGAGGCCATAAAAAAGTTGTCAACAGGGTGTAAATTTTAGGAAGTGTAACAACCATCAACAACAAAGAGGTCCAGTAGTGGAATTCAAAAAACAAAAAATATTACGGAAATAATGAAGATTTAAACGTTGAAGAAATGCAACACATTCAACTTGATTTAAGCAATCAAGTGAGTGAACTTGAAGGTGAATTTAAGCATACGTTGGTCCAACGTTGATATGACGTAGAAATAAGGTTGTGAAATAAGTGACATAACGTTTATCCAACGCTAACGCCAACGTTCAGACCAACATACAAACCACGTTGGGCTAACGTGCATCAGCAGTACAAGTTGCCGTTGGACTATTACGTTGGTGTCTGACGTTGCTTCTACGTGTCTTACATCAAATAGTGACGTTGATCCGACGTCGGACCGACGTACATTTGCCACAAAAACCCCCAATATATTAATGAAGTCTTTTTTCTGGCTCCGAAGACGTCGTGTGACATGGGAATGCTGACTTTAATTTGACGTCCTACTGAGGTCAGACATAAATGCCTTCAACGAAATGGAATAACTCAAACGGAATTACGATTTAAGGATTTTTTTGTTGAGAATGAGAGAAACAAAAAAATCTTAATTTGAATGTGTGTTGATGATAATAAACAGTTTTGTTGACTTCGGCCGTGAAATTCGCTGAATCATTCAATAGAATTAAATAAAATCGGTATACCGTTAATAGAATACGATATTTGAACACACATTATTACATTTTTTTAAGTGTCCTGTTTTTGTTGTTGCTATTGGCTTGACTTCCAAAGTAACTTTCCAGATCAGAAGTGTTTCGTTTTTCCACCATTGTACAGCCATATGGTTGCAAAGGGCGATTTCTAATGGTTACATAACACTTTACATTGAATAAAACTTTGAAATACACAGACAATGTCATGGTCACTTTGGCGGGTGAAAACTTTGAAAATTAATATCTCCAGTTTGGAAGACCGTATCTTCATGCAACCTTCAGGATTTATTTTCCCCTAAAAGTCGTTGTGATATGTTCATTACTTTTTGTTGAAATTGGAAAGATACATTTTAAATGCAGAAGAGGGAAACTTCACTCTCTCGCCCGGGTGTTAACGTATTAACTTCTTTTTGAGTGGATTTCGGTCTGATTCGAATGAAGAAATGCTACAAAGTCATCTAAGGCTTATCACTCTTTATTGACTGAGCCACTATTCTACTCAATATTTGGAGTGAGTCGATGACCACTCTCTTTCGAGTGAGCAAAGTTAACCAACTGAACCAGTCATTCTTCGCGTCACTCAATTTTGACGCAAAAGCACATGTCACTCTTTTTCGAGTGCGTTGTTTTCCAGCTGTAACTACCTTTTTACCGAAACAGCCAATCACTGATACGATATTTTCTTTAGATTGGGCCAATCATGTGTGTCCAAACGTTCCTCACATACATACCGCGCGCGCAAAATGTATACACTGAACCAAACAGTTGCAACGGCCGCCATTGTTATGCATACACGTACACGTAGGCCTACGTTGCGTTAAAGCGTGCAGTATGTATGGTCGGATATCGCGTTGTCGTTAATGTTTTGACAGTACAGCCGGCTTGCCTAAGGCTAAAAGCGCGATGACAATGGCCACCTTTTCCGGCGGCCTATTTGCTGCTGAAATGACCCGGAACAAGCAGAGAAAATCGGAAGGATATTCAACGGTAAGTTCAAGTTAACATTTTTTTTCGTAATTTTTGCACGTAGACACTGGAATGGAACTGACTAAAGGTACATGGGTTCGATGGCCAAGTATTTTTTTATCATCTTAAAAATTTCCCATGGAGATGGTTCACAATGTAACACTAGCGTCCGCAGCAACAGATTAAGATGAAAGTCGGAATACTTTTAGGTGATATGTGTTCAACTAGTCGTGACTTTACAACTGGGATACATTTTTAGAAATTGGAATAAATGCATGCATTTGGGGAAATTTTCGAACGATTTCTTCCAGATTTGATGGTCGGCCTTGACTAACAGTATTGAGGTTTCGACATCGATGACGGCGATTTTTTTCACTGACATGAAGTTCAGAATTTCTTTTTTAATTATAATGAAACATACCAAGCATATTTTCTGAGAAACAAAACTTTCAAAATCCCATGTTTGGGAGTGCATGAATTTCGCTGCTCCGTTATAGCGTCCAAGTACGTAATTGGATTAGCTTTGCCCAACAACATGAACATGTATTGCAAACTTCCACAGTTACGCCACTTTACTTCACATAAAACCGTACATTGCAAACGTTTATGTACTCTGTTTTTCCTTTTAAGAAATTGTTATTAATTTGAATCGTTGGCAAGTGACTTCATGATCTCAAAATGCCCCCCCCCCCTCCGTTTCTTACCTCAAACATTAGGGTGACAATCCAATTTCCCATCCCTAATGTTCAAAAAGATGGGGGGGGGGAAGCCACCACTCAGGTTAGTAAATAAATTGACAGACACGAACGATCAATACCTTCACTTCAATAAATAGGAAAAAAATCATCCCAAATATCTAAGGTATGCAAGATTGAATCTTTAACTTTATTGTAATGTTTGGACCAACTGAAAGTTATTGTTTGATATCTTATATTTTTATTATGATCAGTACTAAAAGTAAAATGATTTTGTTTTAAATTTCTTTACCATTATTTCATTGCCAACTCTAAGATTATGCAAATCTTAGGTAACTTTTTCAAATTGCCTTGACTTCAAAGTGATTATCTCAACGTTGGCCTAAGGAAAAAGTCAGAAACGCATAGTCTGTAGTTACTTCACAATATTAATTCAAAAGAAAAGGAAAAACGTTATGAAATCAATAAAAACAGGGGAAAATGGCAACTGTTGTTAAACATTAACAAACCATGATGATGCAACTATTAAGGGATATTTTGCGACTTGCTTTGTCCTGAAACTGATCATCTGAACGTTGGCGTCATTTAAACAGTCATTGATTTTGTTGCCATGCAACAGCACGAGTTGATGCCATCTACGCAGACGAAACCGGGCAGGCAAGTTGTTAACGCACACTCGTCAATGTCTAGACAAAAACAGAAATTGGATTAAAATATTATCTAAGAAATAATCGACAATACTGTAAAACATATTTCGCAAAAGTTGAAAACAATGTTTTGTACAGCTTTATAGAGCATACTGATTATTATTTGTTATTCAATTTGATTGCTTTAAATTGTTAATCATTTAAGTGAGGTCTGTGTTTCGACGGAACAAAACGGCAAAAAAAAAGCTGGCTGCAGCAAATTATAAAAAGCGCACACTGTGTTACAAAATAAACAGTGTTCATGTTAGACGGTTAGAATACAATGTGGCAACCGGTGGCGATGTTCAGTGGGAGAGGGGAGCGTAAACTTGGCATTGGTGTCGCTGTGTGGTTGGGGATGTCAGTTTGCAGAGCCCAGGCTTCCTCTCTTAGGCGGCCACTTAAAACTTTCTGCTCATATAATAATGGTGTATTTTAAAACATGTTACTGTTCATGTCAGTTTCGTCAAGATTTGTACCAAAGGCGTTGCCAGATGGAGGGTGGGGGGTGGGGACGAGGGTGGGGACGGAGAGGTGGTATTTTGTAAAGACTGCCCTTTCCATTGAATTTCTTTTTTTCCACCAGCGTTTCTCCCACTCCCGCCTTCTGCATTCCTTGGTACAATCTTCCAAAAAAGGTGGCTCTCTTCAAAACCGGCCATTATGCAAACTAAGTACGCCATGATAAGTAATGATATAACATCATGTACTTTATATCATACATTTGAACAAAATGTTTCAATTGATTTTAAGGTCATTAAAATGTTCTGCAGATCAATGGATGAAGAAAAATTGGAGGATAGTTGACGATTGTCCAATCAAAAGAAAGGTAATTTCTGATCCTCGGGTAACTTTGGTTACTTTTCCTAAATGCCTTATTTTTCAACCGTCAACATCAACAATCAACACTGAACATAAACAATCAACTTCAACAACCGACATCAACACTCACCATCAACTAATCAACAATCAACATCAACAATAAAAATCAACATATCAACAATTAATATCATCATAACAATACAACATCACCAATCAACACTCAACAATACAAAACAGCAATATGTCCTGTTGATAAAATAACATCTAGCTTCTTTTTTTCTAAGAGGTACAGCCCACATGATACGGCACGAGTGTGTCAGAATTTTTAAGGCGTATTGCAACTTACTGTTTTCACAGTCTTTTCCATCGTAGCCAGCCACACAGTCACATCGGTAGTCATTGATCAAATCTACGCACGTACCATCATTCTGGCATGGCTGTGATTTACATTCATCGATATCTGGGAAAAATGGATAAAATAAAGCATGATCTCATGCACTTTACCATTTCGACTCTTTTCTAGTTGTAAATGCTAACGGCACACAAATGTAGATCTGGAATTTCGATGTGAATGTTCAAAACCGTTTTTTTTTAAATATCAGTAGAACTATTAGGGTCCCTGTTTGTATTCACAAAACTTTAAAACCAAGCTAATGTCGAACATTGGATAACTCAATTCTTTGTTATGGTCTGATCTCCTGTTGTTTTTCGTTGTTTTGTGCTGTTAATTGTAGTCTTGAAATAAATCACTTGTCCGTACATTGTATGCTTAACAAAGTTAATGTTACAATTGAAATACGGGTTATTATATGACACGGGATAGGGGAGAAATAAAAGCCTTCTCCTGACCCCTTATATGCAGGCGCTTCATATCCATTTAAAAATGAGTTGATTCAAAGCTCATGTTGAAACCAGCTACGGTAATAATTTCCCTAACACAGCATTATTTCAAGTGGAATACTCGATCCTTGACTTTGTTAATGCTAATGATCAGGCTTTTAGACACTGAGAAGCAACTTGGCGAGAAGTAAGGCATTGTTCACGTAGTTGCACTTACTGATCTCACAGTCGTTTCCTTCGTAGCCAGCCACACAATCACATCGGTAGTCATTTATCAAATCTACGCACGTACCATCATTCTGGCATGGCTGTGAAAATAGTTCACATTCATCGATATCTAAAACAAAAATGGTCATGTTACTGAGCATTATTTTTTAAAGTTTACATATGTAGCTGTTGTTGTATTACTAGCCCTATAAATTCCTGTGTTCTTTTTAGGGAATCCCCTTTTAATGTAAAGTTTGTTTCGCTGTTTGCTACGATTGATTTGAGTCTGAGAGATTGTAATATTTTTTGGTACAGGTTGGCGCAGTGGTTATGTGCTCGCATTGAACCACTGTGGCCAAGGTACGATTCCTGAAATGGTCTACATGTGGACTAACTTTTCATTCCCTAGGTTTTCCCAAGAACATTCGGCTGGTATTTTTCTCCCACCCATATACTCGTATAACTATACTTCCTTCACATTGTTATTAATCAACAGGTGTTTCTAGGTCTCGAGCTACAGTTCACTTTTGAGGAAAGTCTTGGTTTCATTATTAGAAGTAGATAAAAATAAAACAAAACAATAATATAAAAAATGTTTAGTTGAACCCGCAGCATTTTTTTAAAAGATTTCTCCCTCGTATTGGCAATCGGACAAAACTGTGCATTACAGTATTTATAGATTACGAAAGCAACGTGCCAATCGATCATAAAACCAAATTTCAAAGTTTGCAACATCGACAATTTAGGCGAACTAATACGCTAAACAATACATGTTTTGTGTCCCCGGCCGCCTCGTTTTGGGAAGCCGCCGCCTCCTTTTTTTCCTTGTTTTTTTTAACCCCCCCCCCCCCATGATAATTTTTCAACCGTGATATCATTTTGGGCGCTTTATCTGTTGCATCTAGCCCATATTAAGCTGATATCTCAATTCCTAGTTCCTATGGCGGCTATTTAATAAATTAAACTAATAGACAAAAAAAGTGCACAATGTGTTGTAACCAAAGGTATCTATTTTAACAATATTTTGGAACAATTATATATTACATAAAGAGTAGTTTTGTTTAAAGTTTTATAAATATTTCCGTTTTAGATGTGGAAAAAAATTGACACAATGACACACCTGGAAAATTCGCGATTACACTGCGTTTTAAAAATAGCATTTAATGAAGCGCATGCGCAGAGGTGAGATAATTAATGGTTTTAGATGGGAACTAGCTACAAGTCAGCATATTTTATTGGTTGGGTGGGAGGATCAGTCTTATCAGACGTTGGACCTGAGACAGGGGATTCGTGGGACAACGGTTGATACTCAGGCTACTTTAAACCTTTCTTAAACGAAAGTGTGACAAAAAATGAAGGAAAAAAACACACACACACAATTGGCGCCATGACTGTAATACGAAAAGAGTAAATTTATGGGAAATGGCCTGGGTGCAAGGTTTCTTTTTTGCCTTTCGGTAATTTGACAACGTGCATGCTTGAAACATATCGTCACCGACACCACGAACCGACACTCGGTGGTCAGCGTTGCAGAAATACAAATCGGAGAAAAACGCTTTTAAAGGTTTGACACGAATTTACTCGGTAAAATATTCCATCTATTTTAGAGGTTTTAGTATCACGTGAAAATGCTTAAACTACTCAATTATAAACGTTATATTGTGAAAATCTGCTTAGTTAATTAGCAATTAAATCATTAAGATAGGTGTCAGTTCGTGAAAACCGAAATTGACGCGTTTTGGGAGAGTGCGCGCACACACTTCGCATACGTGCGCGCACTCTCCCTAAACGGGTCAATTTTGGTTTTCACGAACTGACACTCACTTATAACGCTATTGCATACGCGCACTCTCCCAAAACACGCACATTTTTGTTTTCACGAACTGACACCCTGTGCAGGGTCACTTTGTGGTAACAAAAAACACCAGAATTGACCAATTTCTTGAAAATTCTTTAGTAAAATTTGATTAGTTTAGATAATTTCAGCAATTTTAACTTTGTCATGTTAAACATCATGATACAAACTGCTAATATGTGCAAAAAAAAGAAAATTTGAATTTTCAAAAAATGTTGCATACGTGTGATGCAGAGGGTGTCAGTTCGTGGTGTCGGTGACGATATTACGTGGAGGAATAAATATGTCACGTAATTTGGAATAACTTAATATTCCACTGCGGTTAGCGTGGTTTTGCTGTGGTATGCTGCTCTAAATCAGTGGTCGGAATGCTGACGAGTCCGGCTTCGAATTATGGAGGAATGTTACAATTTCGTTGATTTTCCCCTAAAGTGAACTTCCTTCCCCGTATTGTGTTTCATCAAGTCTTGACCGATAAAATACATGGTTTTTTTTAAGAGAGCTTAAGTCCAAGACATTCTGTCACCAACTGACGCAGGTTAATAATGGATATAGACTATACTTGGTTAATTGTGGCCTGGGAGTGATTGCGTTAAGTCTGTTGACTATGCTCACAGTCTCGCCTGCATTTAGAACCGCGCCCATGAGTCAGAAGACCCTCCATTCTCCTTTATTGGTTGGATCAACTTTAAAACACGTTACTGCCTGAATTGGAATGCCGGCATTTTCATGGTGATTTCCCTATTTCACACTAATGGTTCAGAAATCGCTCATAAGGTGCCAATTTTGGACAGCTGCCAGCGGCACAGCTGTATACGCCTACACAATAATCTGTTCATTTTTGAGAGGTAGAGTCTACACGTTACGGCACAAGTGTGTCGACACTTTTAAGCGTAATGCAACTTACTGTTTTCACACTCTTTTCCATCGTAGCCAGCCACACAGTCACATCGGTAGTCATTGATCAAATCTACGCACGTACCATCATTCTGACATGGCTGTGATTTACATTCATCGATATCTGGATACAAGGATAAAATAAAGCATGATCACATGAGAACTGGCACTTCACAATTTCGACTTCTTTTTAGTTTTTAATGTTCACAGCACACACGTTTAGTTCTAGAATTATGAGAATGTTTAAAAAAGTGCATTTTTTTTTAAATATCAGTGGAGTTTAGTGTCCCTTAAATGTATTCACAAAAATGTTAAAACCAACCTTATGTCAAACATTGTATAACTCAATACTTTGCTATGGTCGGATCTCCTGTTGCTTTTCGTTGTAGTGTATTGTTAATTTTTGTCTTGAAATAAGTCACTTTTCCTTACTTTGTATATTTAACAAAGTTTACGTTACATTTTAACTATAACACAGGATATATATATATGAAACGGGATAGGGGAGGAATAAAAGCCTTCTCGTGACCCCTTGTGCTAACGCTTTAGTGTTTCCATTTAAAAATAAGTTGGTCCAACGCTTATTGTGAAACCATCGATGGTGATAATTTCCTCAACACAACATTATTTCAGGCGGAATACTAAAACCTTGACTTTGGTAAATGCTAAGGTCCGGCTTTAAGACAGTGAGAAGTAAAATAATGGCAAGAATTAAGGCATTGTTCACGTAGATACACTTACTAATCTTACAGTCCTTTCCTTCGTAGCCATCAACACAATCACATCGGTAGTCATTGATCAAATCTACGCACGTACCATCATTCTGGCATGGCTGCGAAAATTGTTCACATTCATCGATATCTAAATTAAAAAAAGAAAAGAAAATGTTACTGAGCATTATTTTTAAGTACATGCATGTAACCGTTGCGATTGTACTAGCATATAAGTACCTGTTTCTTATGAGGGAGTCCCCTTTTGATGTAAAGGCTACAACAAGTTTGTTTCTCTGTTTGTTACGATGGATTTGAGTCGGAGAGATTTTAATAACTTTGGGGTCAGGCTGGCGCAGTGTTTATGTTTTTGCATTCAACCACTGTGGCATTCACTCATAGCCAAATCGGAGTCAAGTGCCCCGTCAAACAGAGTAAATGGCCCCTTACGCTTATAAAGAATGAGTTGACTATAAAGTAGAGTCGATTTGACTCCCATCCCACAGTCGTTGGTGTCAAATTACACTTCAAACCGGTCAAATGGCCCCTAACTCTTATAAAGAGTTAGGTGGACTTTAACACAGAGTCAATTTGACTCCTCCTTCAAGAGTCATTGGTTGATGGCTTTGCGAAGTTTCTATGTTGCTGTTGATGGCGCGTATAAAGTGCATTAACCCTAAAGGGGCTGGGGGCGGAATCAACTTTAAAACATGTTACTGCCTGAATTGGAATGCCGGCATTTTCATGGTGATTTCCCTATTTCACACTAATGGTTCAGAAATCGCTCATAAAGTGCCAATTTTGGACAGCTGCCAGCGGCACAGCTGTATACGCCTACACAATAGTCTGTTTATTTTCGAGAGGTAGAGTCTACACGTTACGGCACAAGTGTGTCGACACTTTTAAGCGTAATGCAACTTACTGTTTTCACACTCTTTTCCATCGTAGCCA